CAGGTTGCTAAGGGGCCAGCCAACCCCATTTTTGATATCCTCCCTCCCCGCCCCAGGCCAGTTGGCAGATTCCTGTCCAGAGGTCAATTGACACTATAGATGCCCAGATTCTTTGGATGGGACCAGGGCAGTCTTCTTATAAATAAATAAATAAATAGCAGCTTTTAAAATAACTATCAATGATTTTATTATTTGTTTCATTTTCAGTGGAATTTTAGAACTGGACTAAATGCTGAAGACAAAAACAAATGCTTGTCAGTCAGAGAATGCAAGTAGATTAGAATTCCCTTGTTGAACCATTTAACTGTGAAATGACCTTTCTTGCATCTGGAATATCTAGGAAGAAGAGGAGGAAGAAAAATGTTAATTGACTTGATTCTAATAATTTTGATATCAAAGCAAATAACAAGACAATAGCAGTTGGGTTAGAAAAATTATACCAATTTTCTGAGAGATTGTTATTCATCAAAATAATGTCCCAGTGTTAATTTGCAAACACAGTAAGGAATTGTTTTTTGCTAAAATAGGTGAACAATAAACTTTCATATATCTTTTAGCACTTAGGTGTGTTTACCCTGTAGACAGTACTTGGAACTAATGCCTCTTTTTCTTCCCCTTCTCTATCACTATGGGTGTGTGAGCACATGCGTGCATGCAATGTGCTTTTGTAAATTGGAAGCCTGAAGACCGAGGTGGTCCTTTTTTCACTGACTGCTTATAAGGTATTCTGGCAGTCAGTGAAAAAAGGACAAAAATGTTTTTAAATAAGTAAATATTTACTTTAAATAAGCAAAGAAGTAAGTTCAGTCAGTGGAGCACTTGGGAAATCCAAAGACTTAGTTTTGAAACTCCATTTGCATTAACCAGGTATGTTTCATTTTGAAAAGAACAGAATGTAATTTAACATTGAAAGCAAGTTTTGTTTTTTCTTTATTACATTTAAGATGTTATGTCACATTTCAAAACAAATTTATTCCAGGGTACCTTGCAAAACATTTTAAAGTCTTAGCTCTGAAGTAAAAGTAGACAATTCTTTGTATGGGGCCAGCTTAATCATGTCAGTAGCTCTCGATTTGGATACTGAGTAATCAAGCCAGATTGATTATGCACTTTAATATTCTCCATGAAAAGAAGCAATCTTTTCTGTCATTTGCTCCCAACAGAGAATTTGCATATGCTAAGGAAAATGCTATGCTTTGATGTTAGGTACACATTACATAATTATTACTAAGGAGTGTGAAAGACATGAAAAGGGACATAGTAAGATTCAGTTTGAGATCTGTTCAAGTACAGTATGTTAGGTACTCCATTTGTACAGAGATGAATTGAGAAATTGGTCAAGTTTTGCTCTTTGAATATAACAGTCCTTTTAAGGAAGCTGTGCAAAGTTATGTTAATTAGATAAATCAAGTTGATCTTTCTCTTTTGGCCTCATGATGTAAAAGGAAAACATTATGGATCGGCCAGTAAGAACAAAGAGGTGGTAGAACAGAGGTTCATCTAAAATTCCCTTGATGTAAGGTATTAATGAAAATGCAGGCACAAAATATTGTGGATTACAGTCATAGTTGTTTTATTTCTTAACTGAAATATGAGGATACACTAAGGGCTACCAGCTCTGGGCTGCAAAAATCCAGATGACCACCAGATGAAAACAAAGAGATATAGGAAACTCTAACCCTTTTGTGCCATCCAGTGGGCAATCCAGATCCTGTAGCTCTGATAAATTTAAATAGCTCTCTTTAATCATGTATCTGTTTAGGCCAGGGCTGGCTCTAGAACATTTTGGTGCCCTAGGCAAAGTCACATTCTGGCGCCCCCTATGGTTTGGCTCATCTTCCAATTTTGTTAGGAATTCCAAAAAGGCGCCCCCTTGTTTCTTTTTTCCTTTGACTTTTTGAGCTTTACACTTATGATTTTCAGCCCTGGACGATTTTTTCCCACTTTTCTCTGACATTTTCACCCTATTTACACAGTAAATCATTTTAATTACATCAGCACCCATTGTTGTCATGTGGCAATAATTTTGTGAAATTATATTCAACCCTTGAGCGGGCGCACTGACTCACAGAGTGCACCATTAGTGCTTTTTGCTTTTTTATTGTGTTTTTCGGAAGTCTTTTCAATTTTGGCACCCCCTAAAATTTGGTGCCCCTAGGCTGGTGCCTACTTGGCCTTAGCCTAGAACTGGCCTTGGTTTAGGCAGTAGGAAATGATAAACCAGTGATATTTTGATTCTCCCTAGTTTCAACAGTTTATCACATTTTCCCCCTCAGGAAAACAGAATGTGGTGGTATTATCTGGTTTCCTGTGACTGAAGAAAAGAAGAGCATAACTATATTAATCAAAAATTTTAAACACAGCTAACCGAGTTTTGGCTTTTGTTGAGTTGATGTTCATTACTTTAATAAAGATCTTCTGTCCCCATTTTTTCCCCACAGATACCATTTATTCAGGAGAAATTGGAACAAAGAAAAAGGTCAAGAGACTATTAAGCTTTCAGAGATATTTCCATGCATCCCGGCTATTGCGTGGAATCATACCGCAAGCTTCACTGTACTTACTGGATGAAGACTACCTTGGGCAAGCAAGGGTAAAAAGCATTCTATTCTGTCAAGTTTGGTTCTAATAATCAAGCTGCGTTTGGATTATCATTCCTGGTTTAAGCACAATGGGAAGCTTCCTGGTGTGTCTGAATGAACATGGGAACAAAGCAACATCAAAGAAGTTTGCAAACACTGAAACTTATGCCAAGATTTCACAGTTAGGATTTGATTATCTGAACTGAGCTACTGTGATGACTAAAGCTGCATTAATTTAAAAGTAAGGAATCCATTTGCCATGTAGGCAAGGTTGGATTCTAAAACAGACTAACTTAAAGACGTTCACAGAAAAAAATATTAATACTGCATAGTACAGTCTTGTACATGTCAACTCAGAAGTCTGTCTTGTTGAACTCTTGAATATATAGGTATGGAATTGTAGTTTTCATCTGTAGTGGCACTATCTCTGCGTAAAACTAATGTGGGATGAATTAAACCCTTTCAGTCAAGTCCCTTTATCTATTTTTACTGGTTTAGATGCACAAGAAACAATACATTATGATGGAACTTAGCCATTCAGCATTGATTTCTACTAGCCAGCAATGAAAACTAGTCCGTCATGATAGTAATACTAGAAGAATTTATCAGTAGATGCAGGCTGGGTTCAGGGATTGGTTGATCACACCACAGTGTCAGGGTTCATACATTGCAACATGAAAATACTTTGTGGTTGCTGATGTTTGTCTGCTTGGGATCAGGCTTTTGATATGGGTCTTTAATATTTATTATAAACCACCCAGAGACTGGGTGGCATACTGATGATTAAATATATTTTGCTTATTTAACAGAACTCAAGTATAAACCATGATTTACAAATCAGAAAGGCTGATGCTAAACTAAACCATACAACCTGTTTTATAACTTAGTACAATGCGTGAACGCTGCTGCTGTATAGCCCAAATCCTGTTTTACTTTTAAGCCAATATTCCTCTCCCAGCTTTTAGCAGGCTTCCCCCTTTTCAAATGTTCATTGTTTTCTCCATCACACAAATGTAGGCATCTTAAGTAAGCCCAGGCATTAACTAACATTTACATTGCTCATTCTTAAACAAGGAGGGTAGCCTATCAATCCCATGTGATATTTAAACCTTTGTTTTGTGCCCCAGAACCTCCCTAAATAAAGTGTGTTAAGCTTTCAGAAACGTTAGTGACTCCTAATGGCAAAACCTTAAGATTAATCATCTGAAGACATAAAATGGGAAAAACTGCCTCAGTTGCTGCATGATGTCATAACATTATCACTCTGCCCCACTGTGACCCCCCACCTGCTCAGAATAATTGGGAAAAAAGTATCTCCTAACTCCATGCTGCGCAATTACCATATTTAAATACTTAAATTGGGATAAATCACCTATATTGCAAGTATAAAACTTGATTTGACTTCCAGGGTCGTTCTAATTCTAGATGAGGCTTTCTTTGTGCAATTGTTGTATCTTATTTACCAGATTCTGCTCATTTTAATAGAAAGCGCTTTAAATTTTAGTTGGCACTTACAATTATTCTGCCCTTTATTTTTTTACTTCCAGCATATGTTATCCAAGGTGGGAATGTGGGATTTTGACATTTTCCTGTTCGACCGCTTGACAAATGGTAAGGTACAAATAAACAGCACTAAATACTATTTCATGAAATCTATTTCCAACAGCGATGTTTCATATTTTCACTGATTGCTTTCAAGGTTGCTCCTTCAACCTGAAACCTTCTCTTGCTGAAACTTTTCTTCCTGCACAACAGGAAGAAAAATGGCTTAAATGGACAGGATAGAGGGCTGTAGAAATGCATACGGGTGTGATCGTAACATCATATGTCCTGGAATCTACCCTATGCAGAATGGTCCCTTTACAGAAACATCTTGGCCGTTGTTTTTAACAAACAAAGGCACCAACTCTGTAACTGTGGACAAAAAAGAAAGAAAAAGAAAAGAAAATATAAATGAATTGTCCATATGATATCAAAAGTCTGTAGAGATTCGTGCAAGTTTACAGCATACGCATGTCACTTCTTGTTGACACTGATACTTTTAGACTTATCCCTCCCAGGTACAATATATGCCCGGCCTCACTCATCTCTCTTCGCCACCCAGATCCTGCTAAAAACAACTATCTTATCTTGCTGTTACTGATAGTCTTTTTGTTATTTTTAAAGCAAAACAAACAAACAAACAAACAAAAATCCAACAGCTGTTTTCTTAGTAATTTGTTTGACTAGATATACTTTTAAAATTAGCTGATTAGAGTCAGCCTTCAGACTATGATGTCAGGAATAAGGCTGGGGCCAGAATTTTTTCCCCCAGCCTTTCTTAGATGGTACCCTCCCCCCCCAAATCTGAGAAAATTCAGGGTGACACTTTTGCTCAAAGTATTCTGGATGTCTCTTTTAAAAAAAACTTTCAAAAATGCATTGCACTGCTCATAATGGTACAAGATTCTTTTTGCAGCTCAGCCTTTGGTGGGGATTCTGGCTTTTATTCAATATGCATCCTCGTGTTTTTTCCCCTTCAGAAGAAATGCGATAATAATTGTACAAAAGGCAGCCTGCTGGCTGTAGCCCACCTTCCAGTACAGTGGGCCATGGCTGAATAGTGCCATGAGCTCAGTCAGTCTGTTGCTCCTTGGGAGCAAAAAATTAATCCTAAAACATACCCAGAATCTTCTGTAATGGGATGTCCATGAAGTATAGGTAATCTTCAGCAAAGAATCAGTGTGAAAAAGATAGGACGTTTGGACACAGGACTGAAAACTGCTGGACATGCTTTTCAAAGTCACAAAAATATATACATCTGTCCATGTGGCAAATACAAGAGATAACCTTATTTCATATCTGAAGCTGGCCCAGTACTGCTAAAAGTGGATAGGAGGAGGTTCTTGCTATCAGCCCTCCAGGTGTACTGGGAATGCCTTTACACATGCTACCATGCTAGCTGGGAACCTGTCTTGTCCCAATAAACTTAGAGAGGCCTCTAGTGAGAAGGACTGTTTATGTAATCAAGAACTAGGAAGATTTCCAGATTTCCAGAGCCTGCATTCCATCCACTTCATGGTACTGTAAATGCAAGTGATTGATATGCCCTTTTTGTTCTTTCAGGAAACAGCCTGGTAACCTTGTTGTGCCACCTCTTTAATGTTCATGGGCTTATTCATCATTTCCAGTTAGACATGGTTACATTATACAGATTCTTAGGTAAGCACGTCCTTCCATGATTTGTCAATGTTGATGTTATCTCTAAATACCTTAGGTATTTAGGTGTGAAGTTAGGTGTGGACAACCTGAGAAGCCAGAGCTGTACTCACCCCATCTTCCCAATTTCCTTTTATGGCCCCTGGAGCCATAGCTGCCTGGTACAAATGGCTGAGATGTCACTGGATGAAATGTGTATTATGATGTCAGAATGCAAACCCTAGCCTTTCATACTTGCACACGCAAGTCTGAAAGTCACGGGGTTTGCCTCATGAACTCGCTACATATTTAATCATTTGCTCCCCTTGCCCTCCTCTGACGTCCGACTCCTTAATTGATATACTGCATTGTCTCCCTTTTCCCTGCTCTCTGACTTTACCACTTGACCTGGTTTGTTAATGCCAATAGCCGCTTCAGAATAAACAAGGCTGCCTCAGCCTAAGTACAACTGAACTTAGGGCTCAACCTCACCTTTCCCAAACTACAGCATAAACATGATCCAGTAACCTTTTCTTTTTATGTCATGCTGTCATGATGTTCATTTCTTCTCATCCCCAATCCACGGCTACAGTTGTCTTTAGTTATTTCAGTTTCAAAGAGTGATTTCCTTCTTTTCCCAACAATTTTTGTAATGGATATGAACTAGCACACTTCAGTGTTGGTTGATGATGTGGTCAAGAGTAAGAGCTGCCCAGCTTCTACTAATTACTTTATTTATATATTATATTATATACTGCTGAATCTGCCAAGGATTCATGGCAGTTTAGATTGATAATTAAAACATTCATTATAAAACTACAATTAAAACACCTCTATTAAAAAACTAAAATTAAAATGATTATAACTTGACATAGTTGCAATAATTTGATGGAACATTATCAACCAATCCAATAAAACAAC